TGTCAAGCATGGCTGGACAACATCTTGACCAGCCACGGCGTAGCAGTGTCGGAACTGCACACCAAGCTCACTTGGCAGGAGTTGACTGACGCCTGGCACAAGTGATTCCAAGTGGAGCCGCCCGACCTGCAAGCGATGGACAAGCTCAGCAAGCTCCATCAGAACACGCTGCTCAGTCAGGACTGGATTACCGAGTTCCAAAGACTCGCCTCCACACCTGACCTGCCGCTTGCTTTCCGCGCCATTAAGCACTTGTTTATCATGCGCTCGTGTCCAGCTCTGCAAAACGCGCTGACGCAGATTGCAGAGACACTCGACACATCCGACAAGCTTTTCAGCACCGCATCACGGATCGTTCTCACGAATATCGAAGCCCGCAACGCCGGCGGATCTTCTGCGACGACGAGCGGCACCCAGCCCAAGCCAAAGGTGGCTTGCATTACTTCTACTGAGGCTGCAACACCAAACGAGGGTGAAGTGTTGGCAGCTGCCGGGGATGGTGGCCGGCTGCGCAACAACCACGGCCGCGACAAGACGAAGACTCAGTCCACCTCTACACCGAGCACCAGATCAGCCGCCGAGGAACCTTGGGCACAATACGGACTCTCAGTGAATTCTTATTGCACAAGACTCAAGTACCGTTACTGCCTTTGGTGCAACAGCACCATCCACAATGTTGCACATTGCCCCACCGAGGGGAAACCTCGTTTGGGAAAGTAGGCGCCGCCTAGGGTGACTCGACACCTCCCTCGACGCCATCGGAAGCGGTTGTGCGCACGACYGCCCTTTCTTCCGAGGCATATGCGGATGTCGGGAGTCTTCCACTTTCGTTCGAAGACTTCGCTGCCCGGCTCGTTCCTTCACTGGATGCTTCTCAAGGACAAGATACATGTGCGGCTTTCTCACCGTCCGAAGGTTCTTCCGCCAGTTCGTCTTCATCAAGGGATTCGGCAAGCATGTTCAACGAGGAGGCTTTGGACCTGCTCACGCCCGAGGACTCGCTTGGATTCCTCTCCCTACGACAGGCAACCTTCCGGGGCTGCAAAGCGCAGCCCTATGCGCCCTCTTACACCAGTATCTTTCCTTCCATGCACCACCAACTTCGTCGACGGTAGACGAAGTTGCAGTGGGGGACATGCTTGGCTAAGTTGCCAAGGTGGCCCGCGAGTTTGTCTCGCAACGGTACGAAGAAAACAACGCACCGTTGCTCTACGTTCGCATTCAGATTGGGCAAGCGGCCTGCAACGCTTTGCTAGATTGCGGCGCAACTCGCAACTTCATCAGCCAGCCCTTCATGACTCGGGCTGGCCTTGGCGCACAAGTACGGAGGAAGTCAGATCCGACGACGGTCGCTCTTGCCGACGGTAAGAGGAAACAACTTTTAGACCGGTACATCTCGGCTGTCCCGGTGTACTTTGCACCGCACGCATGTGAACCCGTCACTTTTGACGTGTTGGACACCGACTTCGATGTCATTTTGGGGATGCCTTGGCTTTCTAGCGCGGACCACACGGTCAATTTCCATCGACGCACGCTCACGATTCGTGATGCAACTGGCGCCGAGGTCACGTGTACTATTCCTCCTCGCTCTTCCATTAGGTGCCCAGTCGTGAGTGCCAAATCTTTTCGAGACACATGCCGTTCCGAGCATGTCGAAGAGATTGGCATCGCTTTGCTTCGAACCGTCCCGACGACCGATTCATCGTCCACAGAGCTGTCTTTCGACCCCCGCGTGACCCGGTTGTTAGACGAGTTCTCGGATGTTTTTGAGACACCCTCCGGTATAGTGCCGGACCGACCAATCTCTCACGAGATCATACTTGAGGCCGGAGCCGTGCCACCGAAAGGATGCATTTATTGCATGTTCGAGGAGGAGCTCACAGTTCTTCGTGTGCAACTCGGCGATATACTCGACAAGGGTTGGATCCGTCCTAGCAGCTCACCGTACGGTGCGCCCGCTCTCTTCGTTCGGAAGAAGAACAAGGACCTTCGACTTTGCATTGACTACCAACGCCTCAACGCGCAAACCATCAAGAACGCGGGGCCTCTACCTCGCATTGACGATTTGCTTGAGCGGTTGGGCGGCGCAAGTACTTTTCGAAGTTGGACCTCAAGTCGGGCTACCATCAGATTTCCATCCGCCCGCAAGATCGGTACAAAACCGCGTTTAAGACGCGATATGGGCATTTTGAGTGGGTAGTTATGCCTTTTGGCCTCACCAATCCCCCGGCCACCTTTCAGGCGGCCATGACCATCGAGTTTCGCGCTATGTTGGACCGCTTCGTTTTGGTCTACTTAGACGACATCCTCGTCTATAGCCGAAGTCTAGAGGAGCACCTCGAGCACCTTCGCCGTGTTCTAGAGACTCTTCGGTCAGCCCGGTACAAAGCTAACCGCGACAAATGCGAGTTTGTCCGGCAAGAGCTTGAATACTTGGGTCATTTTGTCTCTCCGGAAGGCATTCGTCCGTTGGCGGACAAGATTCAAGCCATCCAGGAGTGGCCCGAGCCGAAGAATGTGACGGACGTCCCTTCCGCGGCTTGGCCGGTTATTATCAGCGCTTCATCAAGGGTTACTCGAAGATCGCGGCCAACCTAAGCAAGCTACAAAGCGAGGAGCAGCCTTTTGACTTCGACGACAACGCGCGCCATGCTTTTGAGACACTCAAAGCGGCACTTTTGTCCGTCGAGGTGTTACATATTTACGACCCGCTTCTAGCTACGCGCGTCACTACCGATGCGTCGGGGTATGGCATTGGGGCTGTCCTTGAGCAGCACGATGGCATGGACTGGCACCCGTCGAGTACTTCAGCAAGAAAGTACCTCCCGTGCATTCGATCGACGACGCACGGAAGAAGGAGCTTCTTGCCTTCGCCCACGCCCTCAAGCATTGGCGGCATTTCCTCCTTGGTCGGAAAGCATTCCGATGGGTAACGGATAACAATCCGTTGGTATTCTACAAGTCGCAAGACACGATTAACAGTACCATTGCCCGTTGGATGGCTTTCATCGACCAGTTTGACTTTTTCCCTGATCACATTCCCGGGAAGTCAAACCGTTTTGCGGACACCCTCTCACGGCGACCGGATCTTTGCACCGCAATCTACTCTACCTTCGAGATCGACGACGACTTGCGGCAGAGCTTCATCCGCGGCTATCAAGCCGACCCCCACTTTCGCGACAAGTACGCGAATTGCTCCTCTCCGAATCCAGTGCCTTCGCATTTTCGGATCCAAGAGGGCTACTTGTGCATTCACGGGGTAAGGATTTTCTTTGTGTGCCGAATGATTCACACTTGTGCACACGGCTTCTTGGCGAGTTTCACGATGCGCCCGCCTCCGGACATTTTGGTGTCAACCATACACTTGGCCGACTTCGCCAGCGGTTCTATTGGCCCGACCTTCTCAAGGACGCCACCCGCTATTGTGAGTCCTGCGAAGTCTGTCGGCGTTGCAAGGCACGCAACCATCGTCCGTTCGGCGAGCTACACCCATTACCAGTGCCCCTTGGGCGACGGGAAACAATTGCTATGGATATCACCGGCCCCTTCCCGAAGCACAAGACCGACGTTGATGGGATCCTCACCGGTCACCAAGTACGCCATGTTTTTGCCTTGCCGCTATCACGCAAAGGCACCGGAGTTAGCCGAGGTCTTATACACCAGTTGGATTCGCTCCAAGGGCTACCCCAAGGAGATCGTTTGCGACCGGGACACTCACTTTCTCTCCGACTTTTGGGTCGCCCTCGTCAAGCGATGGGGCTCATCTTTGAAGCTGAGTTCGGCTCGCCACCCGCAAACCGATGGTCAAACGGAAAGGGCGCATCAGACCGCTCAAGTCCTTCTCCGCACTCTCATCCGTCCCGACCAGGTTGATTGGGTTGAGTGCTTGCCAGATGTTAAGTTGGCTTACAACTCATCGATCCACCCGGCTATCGGGATGTCGCCGTTCGAGTTTGATCATGGTTCACCCATCTCATCGCCGCTGGACGCTACTTCCCCGCGCACAGCCGAGAGCGACGACCATCTTGCGTTCCTTCGTCGCATGCAAGAGCTTCTTGTCAAGGCTCGGGATCAGATGTCGAAGACGCAAATACGGATGAGCCGTCAAGCCAACCACAATCGCCTTCCTTGCCCGTTCCGCGCTGGCGATCTGGTTTGGGTCTCCGCAGCGGAGTTCAGCCTTGAGCAAGACATCTCTCGCAAGCTCCTTCCCAAGTGGATGGGGCCTTGGCGCATTCTCTCTGCAGCTGGTGATGATCCCGAGGGGCCCTCATTCCGCATCGCGGTGCCACCTCACTTGCCCCGTCCACACGGTGTTCCACTGTTTCAAACTCGCTCTTTTTGTTTCAACGGAGTCCGACGAGTTTCCCGGTCGACGTACGCAAGACCCTCCTTCCATGGACGGATTTCAGGAGGCCGGCTACATCATCACCGACCGGCGCCATGGCAACAAAGAAACAGAGTTTCTACTTCACTTTTCCTACTGCAGCCACAAGGCTGACCGTTGGCTGAC